GCAGGGAAGTGAAACATGCTAGCCTTCTTGCCCGTGTAGCTGCTATGATGTGTGGGAGCTTCAGCTAATTGCTGCCGTTCTGTCTTGAGGCTTTAGGGACAAGGTCTGCTGTAAGACAGGGAACTACGAGGCTATGAACTTGGTCACCCAAGGCTCTTGATTTTGAGGGACTTAGGACTCTAAATTAGGTACACATTTATCTGGGTGAAGAATCAACTTCACTGCCCTGTCATCTTCTCACACTGGGGCATGGACCTAAAATCCTCTCTGAGGGGCAAAGCAGCTTTGACGAGTCCTGTCGGAGTCAGTGGAGACTTGTTGAGTGAAAAGGTACTTCTCAGTGGGCCTCCTTTTATAGCACATGCTAGCACACATGATTTTCAGAAGGATGGCTTGGTATTTTGCCAGTTATTTAAAAAGTCAGATGCAGGACTAAGGTGTAGCTCGGTTGGTACAGTGCTTTCCTGGGATGCAGCAAGCCCTGGTTTTGATTTCCAGCCCTACATAGAAACAGGTAAGGTGGCATACACCTGCAATCCCAGCACTCAGGAACTATAGGTGGAAGGATCAGGACTTCAACATCATTATTTGCATAGTGAGTTCAAGCCTCGTTTGGGGTACGTGAGACCCTGTCTCAGAAAAAAAAAGTGAGATTCAAACCAGACACTTGAGGTTTTAGCTCCTTCTGTGGTCTATGCTCTGGAGATATAATTGGTAGGATCATTCTCTATCCATTCAATAGACGCCATTTTCCGTGCTGCACCACACAGTAGCCAATAGCTGTGTGTGATTATTAATTTAAATTAATTGATGTCAAATAGATCCTTGGTCACATTGATTACCAAGTGTGCTCAGCAGATACATGTGGCCAGTAGCTACCCATCCCCCCCAAATGTTGCCATTGTATCTTTAATTTGGTGTGACCTGGGATACCAGAACTATCAGTGTGTGTGTGTGTGTGTGTGTGTGTGTGTGTGTGTGTGTGTGTATTAGATTCTGGCCCCGAGGCTGTGGCCAATGAGCAGAGAGCAGCAGGGCCTTAAGCTCTGCCTCAGGGCATCCTTTGGTGTGACCGTCCCGGGGTGTGTTGACATCTCCCTTTATTGCAGGAAGGATAACTATGGCAATTGCCTTCCTGAGAGCTGGTTGAAGGATGGCTTGATCTTGGTGGACTCACATGAGTTAGGGATGGACAGACAGAGCAGAGCAACAGGACTCACTGTCATCTCTCACCTTGTAGTGACTGACTTGGACATCAAGTTTCAGTACCGCGGGAAAGAGTATGGGCAAACCATGACGGTGAGCAACCCTCAGGGCTGCCGGCTCTTCTATGGGGACCTGGGCCCCATGCCTGACCAGGAGGAGCTCTTTGGTCCCGTCAGCCTGGAGCAGGTCAAGTTCCCGGGTCCAGAGCACATCACCAACGAGAAGCAGAAGCTGTTCACCAGTAAGCTGTTGGATGTCATGGACAGGGGACTGATCCTGGAGGTCAGCGGACACGCCATTTATGCCATTCGGCTGTGCCAGTGCAAAGTGTACTGGTCTGGGCCATGTGCCCCCTCGCTGGCTGCTCCTAACCTGATTGAGAGGCAGAAGAAGGTCAAGTTGTTTTGTCTGGAAACATTCCTGAGTGGTGAGTCTCCTTTTAGAAGATTGATACTGGAAGATGCCCCTGGAGATTCTTCTCCTTCCTCCTCCTCCCGCTCCTAAGCTTTCCTTGTATAGCAAAAAGTCAAGGGAGAAGAGAGCCCTGGTTCTAAGCTAGGACAAGGACTCAGACAGCCACAAAGGGAGTTGCTCTCCAAAGCTGTCAGCATGGAAGGTGTTTTGAGGTTGGTTCTGTCAGGGACGGAGGAAATAGTCCTGACGGTTCCCCCTGCCCCCCAAATGTTAGGTTATCTTTCACCATGGCATGCTCATCGTAGTCAGTAAAACTCCTGTCTTCTCTCAGGAAATCTTTGATTAATTTAAGGAGGAAAATTTAGAAAAAATATTGAGATGTGAATTTACAGTGTGGCTTGATACCTTCTCAGTGTCCAGTAGAACCCTCTGAAATGATAGAAAAGTTGTATTTTTGCCCTATCCAATTTGGTATCCATTGGCCACATATGTCTTGTGAGCATGTAAATGTGACTGATATGATCAAGGAGTTATTTGATTAATTTAAAATTAATAGCTACATGTGGCTTGTGGTTGCTGTACTGGCTGCATGAAAGATGATGGTTAGAGAATGGTCCAGAAACGCTTTCCTATCTTCTGCAGAGCTCATTGCCCACCAGAAAGGACAGATAGAGAAGCAGCCACCGTTTGAGATCTACCTCTGCTTCGGGGAAGAATGGCCGGATGGGAAGCCCCTGGAGAGGAAGCTCATCTTGGTTCAGGTGAGGAGATAAGACCGTGCCGGCAATGTCGGCAGCACTTCTCTGTGCCGGGGGTTCAGCCCTCGGCTGAGATGAGTCCTGGCTGAGCATCTGCTGATGCGTATGTATTTTCATGCCCTCAGAGACGCGGCAGATTTAAGCTTTGCACAGTAGGACCGTGCTGGACAGTACCACATTCTTATCATTCTTACCATGGGTGGACAGTGTAATGGACACCCTGCCTTTCATTCTCCTGCTGATGTTGGGGGCTTGCTAATGTCTTATGAGGTGTAACATTTTCCATCTCGTTTTATAAAAAGTTTTGGCCATGCTTGTAAGATGTAGCCATGTTCTGGGGATGGTAGCAAGTCTACTGGGGACTTAGGAGTTAGGCGCCAAGACAGGCAGTGGATGTCACATGGAGTTAGGCGCCAAGACAGGCCGTGGATGTCACATGGAGTTAGGCACCAAGACAGGCCGTGAATGTCACCTGATTTAGTTTTCTAAGTAAGCAGCCATCTAGCTAGGCATGTGAATTGGTGCCACATTCAGGTTCCTTACCTTGAATCAGCCATCTTCTAGGTGAATCTTGATGAGTGAAAATCCAAGTTTGGGTGGGGAGGGGCCTTCCCGGGGCCTCGGTGGTTCTTCCTCAATGTCGGGGCTCTTCTGCTACTGAAAAATGTCCGTTCGTCAGCAAAAACTCGTGTGCTGTCGCCTGAACAGGTCATTCCAGTGGTGGCTCGGATGATCTACGAGATGTTTTCTGGCGATTTCACCCGGTCCTTTGACAGCGGCAGCGTTCGACTGCAGATCTCCACTCCAGACATCAAAGACAACATCGTTGCTCAGCTCAAGCAGCTGTACCGCATCCTTCAGACCCAGGAGAGCTGGCAGCCCATGCAGCCTGCCCCCAGCATGCAGCTGCCCCCTGCCCTGCCTGCCCAGTGATCCCGATTGCTGTGTGTGTCCTCTTCTCTCTCCTCTCTCTTTTTTTATATTGTACAGATGGATTTTTTTATTCACCTTTAACCAACTTCTAAGTCTCCTTTCTCTAACGTCATTAGAAGTCTGTGACTTTCCAAATATGCCTAGTTTTAAAAGTTGCTCTAATTTATCAAGATACCAATCCCTCCAAGGGGTTCCTTTTTTACATCTTCCACAGTGGGTGTAGGAGAGATTTGATTTGGGAGTTTAGACACCAGAGTTCTAACTACAGCTTCCATGAGGCAGGTCACGTGACTTGAGGGCTTCAGATGTATCGCTTGTAAATAAATGAGGTTTGGGGTGATGACCGATTGCATTCAGCCTTAAAACTCTGACTTGATTACATTCCTCTACTTTTATAAGACAAAACTGCCCGAAACAGGACCCTTCTGTATTGTTCTTACACACACACCCCCCTTGCTTTCACCAAAGTTCCTCAAGCACTGATCTGTCCTGAATTGAGCTCTGTCTGACTTGTTCTGCTGGTACAGTCGGCTGGCTCCCTGCTGGGGGAAGAAAGAGGGAGAGGAACTGACTGGTTGCCTAGGAACCCGTCTGATATCTAAATAGAAATGAGTGCCAAGGTCTGAAAGTCACCCAGCCTGTGGAGTTAAAGCTCATAAAGTGAGCGTCAAAGGGGAAGCTGGTGACATGGAAAGCCTAGGGATTCCATGAAAGAATGGTTGTCAGGTGTTCTCCCCACTCACGCCACCTGCTCTGCGGGGTGGATGAGCGCACGACTCCATGGTGGACTCAGGGTGGAAGGTCTTTCTTTTCTCATTTCCTTCTCTGAAGACGACCTGGAGGGAGCTAGGTACTTAGGATATACTCTGACGTAAAAAGAGATGGTCTTGTTTACCACGGTCTTCCTGACATTTGGGTTTTTCTAATGGGAAGAATGAGGTGTTAGGTTTGTTAACGGTCTGGGCAATGCTCTTCTGGGAAGGGCTCAGTCCTACTTCGATCTCTGGCTGTGAGCAATGGAGACAGGCCGTGCAGAGCGCTGCATCTGGGTCTCAGAGTGTCTGCCCTAGCTTAGAATTTGAACTCCAAGACTCAGATGAAAAACAAGAAGCGGATCTCCGGTTAGAGGCCCCAATCCCCTTGAATACTGATGTCTATTTGTGTGCACGTGTGTATAGTCTGATGCCCTTAAACTAAGAATCGCACCTCCTTTTTTTCAAGCCACTGAAAGTTGGGATGGATTTAAAGTCTAAAAGCTTAACCTGATCTTGGGTGACCATGAGGCTTACTTAGGGTGTTTAAGTTTTGGTTTAAAACCCTTTGAGAGATTGTTAAAAAGAAAGGCGAGTGTAGAGGTGGTGGTGGTGCACGCCTTTAAACCTAGCACTCGGGAGGCAGAGGCAGGCAGATCTCTGTGAGTTTGAGACCAGTCTGGTTTACAGAGTGAGTTTAGAGAAACCCTGTCTCAAAAAAACAAAACCAAATAAACAAACAAAAAAGGGGCAGGTGTGTGTGTGTGTGTGTGTGTGTGTGTAAACAAAGCATAATTGTACACACTTACACAAAGTATGAAAATGTCAGTGTAAAACTCTTTGTATGCTAACTAAAAGTTTTTTAAAAGATAAATTTAGGTAAAAGTTTAAAAGTTGGATTTTTATAGACCAGGAATCATGCACGGTATAGGGACTATTTTATTTTTTGGAGGAACATAAAGTAACATCTCTTGGCGAGTTGAAGTGAGGGAGTCTTGATGTGTGGCTGCTCCATGGAATCTGGCAGCTCGAAGTTAAAAATAACCCATTATAGGAAAAGTGAAAGGGCAGCTGTGGAATAGAGGCCATTTCTTCCACACACACCCCCCGTCGTGAAATGTAACAGGTTATTAGGGAAGGCCAGATAACCGGAACTGGTAAAGGATGTTGAAAAATGTTCTGAAATGCCATAGACCGAACGTTCAGTGCATGACTATGATGGGAAGTTGAGGAGTGTGTTAGGTGGAGGAACACTTTTGTGTGGTCCTCACTAGACAGTCCAGGGCCTTCCTTGTCTTGCATCTTTTTCAGGATGCTGGGAGAGTACGTTACATGCAGGGATCTTCTCTGATCATCTTTAGTAAGCTTTCTCTGGTTTTGGTAGACACCAGGTATCCTCTCTTAGGGCTCGGTTTTCTGCCTCTTCCATTCCCTCCCGAGCTGTCTTTTCCCTTGCCTTCCTCTCAAGACTCAGGAGGGAGGAGAATTCTGCCTTAGCTCCTCCTTTTCCTCCATGTGCACTCTAGATTAACTCAGAGTTAAAAAGAACCCACTGAGGTAAACGGGGAGGGCAAATGCCAAGTCTGGGTTCCTCCCCATAATTAAGTCTCTGGTTGTATGTTTTCATAGCATCTTAAACTTTCAGAATAACTGTGTTCTGGTAAAGCCCTCACTACCTATGCCCTACGTGACTGTTTGTCTTGGATTGACTGCCAGGCCTTTGGCAGTGTCTGATACAATGTGTTCTCAGATATTTGTGCTGTAATGAATGAACTAAGTCTTCCAACTTGGAGATTTATTGCTAACTGCCATGGGGATATAAAATAAATTTGGAAAGGAAAAAAATATAAAGCTAGAGTACTGGTTGTATCAATTTTTAGTATCTGATGCCCTCTGAGCTAAGAACCTAAGTTAGATTGGCAGGCCCTACAACTGGTCCTCCTTACGTGCTGTCTGTCTTTAACCCCACTGTTGGTCCTTTTCTGTCTGAAGGTACCAGCAAGGTAGAGCCAACCTCCAGGTCAGGTCTCCATTCTGCTGCTCATAAATTGGCATTATTTTTCCAGGCTAGAGTTTTCCTAAGATTTTCCTTCACAGAGATATAGGTTAACTTGCTGGTAGTTTAAAAGGCCTTAATTTCTTATGTCAACACTTGTCCTTCTTTAGTGTCTGGTTGTGAGATTTTTTTCTCTGGGGAAAGGGACAAGGCAACATTTACCTCCCTTCCTAAGGTCCCAGTGACAAGTGGGGGGTACATTTCCACCGAAGTCAATCTGGGGGAACCAGTGAAGGCTCCCATTAGGCTTACTCACAGAGCAGTGGGTGAGGGGTGGTGTGCAGGAGCGTGGGTGCCTTAAAGCAGCCACGATGGATACAGGCCTTTAATCCCAGCGCTTGGGAGGCAGAGATAGGCAGATCTCAGTCTACAAAGTGAGTTCTAGGACAGACAGAGCTGTAACACAGAGAAACCTGTCCCCCCCCCAAAAAAACAAAACAAATCAAAACAAAAAGCAGCAGCCTCAATGGGAATTCTACACCCAGTAAGGAGGTTAACTCTTCTATGACTTCCCAGAGGATGTTCACCTCCCTGCCCTCCTAGGCTTTCCCTGCCTAGATACTTCCTTGAGACAACATTCATTTGGTTGAATTGGCTGGGTACTCCGACGAGGGTCCCAAGACCCTTCTTCTACAAGGGAATGTCAACAGTTAAGCCTAGTTGAAATGATCTTTGCAAGACCACACAGATGAACTCATGAAAATGGTGCCACTTTGGCTCCAAGGATAGGTAGGTAGGCCACTACCTGGTCCACTTTGGCTCCAAGGATAGGTAGGTATGCCACTACCTGGTCCACTTGGCTCCAAGGATAGGTAGGTATGCCACTACCTGGTCCACTTTGGCTCCAAGGATAGGTAGGTATGCCACTACCTGGTCCACTTTGGCTCCAAGGATAGGTAGGAATGCCACTACCTGGTCCACTTGGCCCCTGGATCTTCACTTCTCATTCGAATCCCCTAATGTGGTGGTATGGTGGCACAGACTCTAACCTCAGCACTCTGGAGGCTGAGGCAGGAAGATTGTCATAAATTTGAGGGGCACATAGAAAGACATTGTCTCAAAAAAGCACAACAGGGCGGCTATAGAGACTTGGCAGGTAAGAGTGTTTGCTTTTCTTCCAAAGATTTGAATTCGGCTCCCAGAACCCATGTTGGGCAGTTCGTAATACTTTTAACTTCAGGTCTGAGTGATCCTATTCCCTTTTCTGGCTTCTTAGGCACCTGCACATACGAACATATAAATGAAAATAAAGAAAAACTCTTAAAATAAAAATGATCAGCAAACTGGACTCTTGGGCCTTGAGGTTCATGAGATGGGGTTGCTGTTTTGTACAATGCAATACCTCTCCCGCCTAGGCACACTGAGGGTAAATACTCGGGGCTGCAGAGGTAGCTCAGTTAGTGAGTGTTAATATGCCTAAAATCCAGAGGTCAGTCCCCAACATGGCACAAACCGGAGAAGTCTCGTCCCCCGACAGCCCCAGCTACACAAAACGCTGTCAAAGTAAAATAATACAATAAAATAGTGGGCCAGTGAACTGGCTCAACAGTTAACGGCACTCGCTAAAAAGGAGTGAATATTCACGGTCTTGGCACTCAACCTATCACGTCCAGGATTTAGGGGCATTAAAATAAAATAAGATAAAATAAAACAAAAAACTTTATAGCATTGCTCACAGAAGAGGCATCCCCACAACATCGCGGACTAAATAGCTGCAGGTCCCGGAACTACCTTTCACTTCCGCCCGGCAGCCCAGTCGGCTTCAGTTCTACCGGAAGGGGTGTGTCTAGGGTGGTTGTACTTCCTATTCTGTTCCTGTCCACGGTCTCGTCAATGGTTCCGGCTTGCGTTCGCGTTCTGAATGACGTCGCGGAAGGGCGGTGTGTGTTTGTGCGTCAGACTGTCTTTGCTGGGGGTTCTTCTCATAACCGTGGAGCTTTCGCGGTTTTGTGTGGGACGTGGGACGGTCAGTTACCTTCCTGGCCGCTGGCAGGGAGCCGGAAGGGCTTCCTGCGACACCGCACCTACAGCGGAAGTGCAAGCCTTGAGTCAGAGCGCTGCCTTATGTAACTAGTCTCTAATAATCTCACGCGTGGGTACGTGTGGTGAAGAGAACGTGTCTGCCCAGAAGGGAAGGCGGGCCCAGTCGTGTTAAAATGTGGCCCTGCCCCAGTTCTAGCTGCTTCCACTTACCTGTGTGTCTAAGGGCGAGGCGGTGGTTACTCCGCATTCTTGCTTATGCTGGTTTGATCAGGCTGCTGTGAGAACTCTTTTTAGTGGGAGAAGGGGAGTTGGAAAGCTGACGTTTGGAGCCCAGAGCTCTGTGTCTGAAGGGCAGTTTGGGGAGAAATGGTGGTAACTTTTACCAGAGACTGTCCCAGATGCCTTAAGGGTTGAATCCCAAAGCATAAACTGCACCAGGTAAAAGTTAGAATCGAAGCCAGAGACAATATAAATATGGCTAGAAGACCAGAAGCACGGTTTCGGAAAACTTAAGTCTGCCAGAGAAATGGGGTGCAGCACTGGTGACCCTGTCTTGATAGTGTTAATGATTTACCCCCTACCACATTGTTCCTAGGCTTTTCCTTAAGTGTTGGAACCTGGACTGTGACCCAGGGAAGGGAACCGTGGCTAGCTAAGGAGGCCGAGCTTCACTTAACTTTCAGATCTCATGTCAACACCAAGCCCGCAGCTGCTGGTGGCAGCTGCTCAGCAGACCCTGGGCACCGGAAAGAGAAAGGGCCCACCTCGAGCTGTCTGTCTTCACCTAGCAGGAGAAGTGCTGGCCGTGGCTCGCGGGCTGAAGCCTGCTGTTCTCTATGATTGCAACTCTGCTGGAGTGTTGGCACTCCAGAGCTATCTGGAGGAGCTGCAGGGGCTGGGCTTCCTGACATTGGGACTTCACATTCTTGAGATTGAAGAGAATAATCTCATTGTCAGTCCTGAGCATGCCTGCCAGCATCTGGAGCAGGTACTGCTTGGTACCACAGCTGTAGTGGATGTTTCCTGCTCCCAGCCTCATCCTTCTGTCTGTTCATTGGACCAGCTCCAGGACTTGAAATCTCTCATAGCTGAGATTATCACACATTTTCAAGGACTGCAGAAGGATGTGTCTCTGGGAGTCTCCTCCAGCAAGCTGCCTTCCTCATCTTGGAATCTCTGCACTGTGTTTGGAATACTCCTGGGCTATCCTGTCTCTTACACATTTCATCTGGACCACGGAGATGGCAACTGCTTAGCCATGACCCCCTTGCGGGTGTTCACCGTCCAGATTTCATGGCTGCCTGCTCAGCCTCCAGTTCTGCTCTACTCCTTCAGTGTTCCAGAGAGTTTGTTCCCAGCCCTGAGGAACTTTCTGAGCACCTGGGAGAAGGAACTCAGAACCCGATTTAGGACTCAGAATGACTTTGATGACCTCAGCATTTCCTCTGAGATAGTCACACTGCCTGCCGTGGCCCTCTGACTTAACTCTGCCCATTGAGAAGGTATTAGCGAACGCTTATCTCTGGGTGGAAGATGTCACATCATTCTACATGTCTTGGGAACAATGTTGTCCAGTTCCTTGGCCACGTATGTGAATGGGGATAGCTGCTGGCAGTAGTGTGTTTTCCATTTCTGTCAGGAGTTCCTATGTATCAGCAGAGGTGTCTGTCTGTTTTTCATTGAATAAGAAATAGAAGGAAAGAGAGTGGGGCAAGGAGCGTTGTGGAGATGAAGCAGTACACCCTAGGGTGGTGGCCTGCCCTGAGTGGATGGTGCCTTAGAGGAAAAGGGAAGGACTGGGTCCTTCGCATGTTTATGTAGCTCTAACTGAATTGGGAGATGAGACCATGATGTTCAGGTGTCATACGTGTGCTGTGTTTTCCAGAAATATACAGTTCTGAAGAATAGTCTTGTGAGATAAAGTTTATTTACAGCATGGTGAAAAAAAAAAATAAAACTAGGAATCTGTATTCACTTGGAGGGAAAACCAGAGTTGTAAAGTACCAAAACTCAAGTTTCTCAGGGAGTCAGTCGTTTGCTTCTAAGCTTTCGCCCAGACAGACGCCAGAAGTCACTCAGATCCCCAGGCTGTCTTTGTTTGCCAGGAACACCGCCAGTGCTGTAGCAATCACCACCATCAGCACCGGGAGCCACTGGCCACACTGCCGCTGTGTGGGAGGAGGTGGAGACAGGAGAGGAGAGAGCATCTCTGAGTTGGAGGAAATATGGCACGAATAGCGTTTGGTGCCCTAACACAGCAGAAAGCCTCGCGTTGGTGGCAGAAAAGACAATTCTGCTTCAGTGTCTCCCCCACTTTCTGTCACCTCCCTTGAGATAAAACCATTTTACTAGTGGCCTAGAGCCTCGTATCCAGTAGGGAACAGATATTTAAATGCTGATATGAATATTCAATAGTAGAAAATGATTCATCAAAATAATACTCTCCTGTGTCCCTCAATGCTTTTTAAGTCTTCCTCCTGCCCTTGTCATATTTTCATAATAAATCAAAAGAGCTCTTTTATACTTGAGCCAATACAGGTTATGTTATGTATCATTTTTCTGAAATGTTTGGGATTAGGAGTGTTTCAAATACTACCTTTTTTTTCCATTTCGTAACATTTATATGGACTTTACCAGTTGAGCAGGCCTAATAAAAAGGCCCTAAATCCCAAATCCCACATGCTCTGAAAGCATCTGTAGATTTCGAGCATCGTGTTTGTGCATGTGTGGTGTGGGAGAATTGTCTGTATTCTGTCAATCATATTTTAATAAAA